CAAAAAATTACCGAAAAGACACAAAATTTGGACGAAATATTGTTATTTTAAAATTTTCACACATTTTTGACCTAAAACTTTGCCTTTTTTCAAACATTTTACACGTATTGTAGTCACAAAATTATTTCAACAAATTTTCCCTAAATTAATATTAATAAATATTGTTGAGCAAAATTTATTAAAAATAATCCGGAAAAACACAAAATTTGGTCGAAAATATAAACTTGTCAATTTTTTTTAGCTTGTATCTCCAATATAATGTATGTTTGGTGGGTTGCAAACACAATCGTCTAAATATGATTTTCTTCAACTCAAGTTTAGCAAACAAAATGCATTTTTTGTGAAATTGAGTCCAAAAACGCCTTTTTCAGCCAATTTTAATTGAAAATATTGTTATTTTGGCCTGTTTCAAAGTTTGAAGCACGTTTTGAACTATAAAATCTGTTTTTATGAAAGCTTTTTCTCAAAAATAAGTAAATTAATTAAGAAATGGTTTTATTCGTTTTGTTTTTATCGGATTGTGGCAAAAAATACAATATTTTAGTGCTTTTTAAGTCTTTTTAAGCACATCTTTCAGCTAAAAACGCAATTATTTTGCAAAATTTTGTTAAAAACAAGGCAAAAATTTACCAAAGTAGTCAAATATGGTGTTACTTTTGTCTTTTTTCGAGTGTTTAAGCACATTTTCGGCTGAAAAATTACCAAATTACATCGAAATTGAGAGTATTTTAATTTGTTTCGTTCGATTTAGTTCTTTTTTGAAGCAGAAACTCATTTATTTTGCAATATTTTCTTAATGCATGCCTAAAAATTGCAAAAAAGTACCGAAAAGACACAAAATTTAGTCGAAATATTGTTACTTAAATGTTTCAAACTTTGGAACACATTTTTGAACTAAAATTTTGCATTTTTTCAAGCATTTTGCACGTATTGCAGTCACAAAATCAATTATTTCGACAAATTTTCCCTAAAATAAAACAGAAATCGCCAAATTACTTTAAAAATGTCTGTTTTTTTATTTTGCAAGATTTTCTTAAAACAAGTCTTAAAAATAAATCAAAACTGATGTTATTTAGTTCGTTTCACTTGAATTAATTGATTTTTGAGCAAAATTTAGGCAAAAATAAGCCGAAAAACACTAAATTTAATTGAAAATATTGTTATTTTTGCCTTTGAAGCACGTTTTGAACTAAAACTTCGTATGTTTCAAGCATTTTGCAGCTTTTTCAGTCGGAAAATCCATTTTTTCGTAATTTTTTTTCAAAAATAAGTAAAAAAAAAACTAGCTCATTTATATTATTTTAGTTTGTTTCGTTCGATTTAGTTCTTTTTACATGCCAAATTGCAAAAAATTACCGAAAAAACAAATTTGATCTAAATATTTTCAAACTTTGAAAATCAATTATTTCAATAAATTTACCCTAAAATAGACGAAAAATCGTCTTTTTGTTT